GGGCCAGGGTGTGAGAAACGAGAGATCCGGAAGTGCATGCGTGTGGGAGGGTCTTGCAGACGAGAAGGGCAAGGGGCGCGCCAGAAGGGTCGCGGATTTTGCTCGCAGGTGTATAATAGAGTTGACCGACCAGAAATGATAGATAGCAGCTGGACGGCATGTGAGTGATGGAGAGGGAAGGGGGGTGTGGCCTTGATCCTGCCAAGGGGGGGTGCCGCTCGGGAGCCTGGAAGCTGGGACCGGGTGCGTTAGGAGATGGGAGAAAAAAGAACGGCAGCGACACTGAAGCATAGGGACGAGGCTAGGAAGGAGCGTACTGTACAAAGAGAAGCAGGCGCCCTCGACTCGTGCCGGCTGGGCAGGCTCGCTTCAGCAGGGGTCTGCCCCACTTGGGTATCGGTACGTAGGTACCAAGTACAGCAAAGAAGCACGGTCCCAGCAAGCAGGCACGCCTCCCACGCACTTTCCTGTGTGCGGGACTCGGCAGGGGTCCTGCCTGCTTTGCTGCTCCCGCTTCCTGCTCCCGCTTCGATGCTGCATCTCACCAAATCACCCGTTGTCATGATGCTCATTCTCATGATAGTGGTCCACCAACCAGGACCCCCAACTCCCAAGTGGATGTCATCCCTCCAGTCTGATGCGCCGGTACATCGACTCGCCTACCTTAACCAAGCACCCGGGCGAATGCCGCTTCGTGATGCAACAGACTGCCTCCACCCCTTCTTGTCGAATTATTCCGGGGTTAGAGAAGGACAGGTCGGGCTGACGGCAATCCATGGTATCGTGGGATAGTCAAGGTGGGGTGGGACTTGTTCCCCGGAGCCCAATGCCATGGGTTGCAAACGGTCAGCGCCAGCGGAATTCCAGCCTCACCTCATCCAGCACCTAAAAGAAGCAATCCAGGTACTACCGCTATCCATCCTGAACACCAGCCTGGAATGGAAGACAGCATCATGGCCATGTTGTGCGCCCACGCACGCAGCCATGTGAAACCAGCCAGCCCATTCACCATCAGCATCAGCAGCTCAAGTTATCGGTGCCCTATTCCTCCTATACATCGCTAGGGGAAAGACGGCACCTGCGCTGGTCGTTAATTGCTGTCGCCAAGACGTCTCGAGACCAACTACCTCAAGGAATTGGCCAGCAAAGCCTGATCGAACCACGCCCGGGCGCCATGCTTGACATTTAATGAGGCAGTGTGAAGATAAGAGAAAGCATCCAGTCAATCACAGACACCACCATACACGTCAATCGAGTATCAATCGAACCCCCCCGTTGGCCAGCCATTCAGCTGACTCACCAAAATCCACCACGTCTCACTGGTCGCGCTTTGCCAGAGTCCAGAATCTGGACGTAATGCTATCACAGCATGCGAACTACCCCCCTGGTCCGCTTTCACCAGTACAGGGCTCACGCTCGTCCCCATTTCAGTCTTCCCAGGGATGGCCATGCTCCTTCAAGCACCTCAAATTCCCCCATTGTCCAGCTGTCATGACATTCTCGGCTCGTCACGCTTCGAATCGAATCTGGCGATAACGCGAATTACGCTTGGAAAGGGGGGTTCTGTGGGGATTTCCTCTGTCGCGAGAGCCTTCGACTGGACGACAAGAGTTGAACCACCCACTCGACAATGCTTCTTCGCAATGCCCAGCCTGCCCAGCATTCAGCTTCGACCAATGGTCGCAGTCTTGGTGCTGATCTACCGTTCCTGACAGGACCTTTTTACATCTCATCAACAAATCGCCACGACTCATCAACTATACTGTAGCGAACTCTGGAGCGGCGGCAGACAGGCGAATAGCAGCGACATCGGATCTCCGTCATATGAAGAAGTCTACTTCGTCTCATCGGACAGTGAACACACCGCTCGCGATCTGCCAACTTATGTTGGGCCCTCCGCTGTCGCTCACCCACGCGTTTGGAAGGCGCCCATCTCATTTTGTTACGCAACAGTTTGTTATTGTCCTGACAAAAGGGCAATCCTCGGCCGAGCTGCCAGCCAATGCGGTGCCTCCCTTCTTGGCTCCATCCACTCCAGGAAAAGCTTAGCCCTCAAGGAGGGAGACACGGGTCGATCGCTCAGGACAGGGGGGGCATGTGTCTTCGGCTGTGCAGTGGGCTGCCGATGCCCAATGGAGCCCTCCGATTTGAAAGACTGACGTTATTCAAGATTCGATTCCCTTGATAGTGTCTTGTAGGCTCGTGCTGATTATTCCGAAGAACCTGCCATCTCGGTCTGAGCAGCTTGCTGATCGACTTGGCGATTGACGCAGTGTCCGTCATAAGAGGGCGTCTGACCGCTGCGAAAACCCTCGCCCTCGGCCACGGATGACTGAGCGTTGAATGGCGAATTGCAATCCCGTCTAGACTTCGTAGTGTTTTCGCCCTATCGACACCCTGAACATCCCAACTCCAAGATCGAACGACCTCAAATACCTGCACCCCGGCTTCTTTGAGCCGCCTCTGTATCGTCCTGCGTTTGACATGGAAAACGCGCCTCCCGCCTTGCATCGCAGAGCCCCTCAAATTTTCCACCTTGTCATCGTGCGCCGCGCCCTTCTCGCCCCATGTGTCCCGTTCGCCCCAACTGCCCCCGGTTCCCAAACCGGCGGTCCCGTCGACAGCGTTAGCCTTATCTCACGCCCGAGCCAGCGGTCCGGCCACACCCACTCCCTTCGAGCTGTTTTAGGCAGGTTTGTCAAATGCACTTGTCACCTCTTGCTGCCCAGCTGCTTGGATGCTTCCGACTCTCTCCGAGGTCGAGGCTTTCCCCTTCTGGAAGGTTTCGATTTTGCGCGTCACCAAATGGACACGCTTCTGAATCGGTCGAATGATAGGTGTTTTGGGGGGAGATGGACCGATGAGCGAAAAAGGGCAGCATGTGATCGCGCGTCATTTTCCCGAACACGGTGACCGCACAGTCCTCCTTCCTGCCCATTGCCGTTGCTCTTGAAGGTGGCTTAGAAACATGCCAGATACTTCTACATAAGCTGCATCACGCGACCCATGCTTTTGAGTACTCTGAGCAACAATTCATCTTGGATGCAGTCGACGCGGTTCTGTGTGCGACGGCCGTGTGCATCAACGTACGCGATTGTCAAATCGGTTCGATCCGCGCCCTTCCACCTCTAAATGTGTGATACAACGTGTGTTGCTAAGTGCCCTAATTAAGTTCGCGTAGAAGAACTCAAAGCTTAGATCATATACGTAGCAGACGTCACAAACGTTAGTCATCGTAGCTACTCGACAGCATAAATTGTAAAGTCTAGTGAACGAGACATAGGCAGGTCATCTGTTTACATGTGATGAAGCTGCAGGCACTGCGTCATGCGAGGTCTGCCACTTTTCTAATGTTTCTGGTGGTCAGGTGATATGCATGAAGAGATGAGCCCATTGATGTGCATTATGGAGCTGAATCGCATCAATCAGCCTCCTGGAAATCGGCGGAAGTTGTTCAAACGATGCGCAGATTCGCCGTCCTGTCGCAAGACAAGGCTTCTTAACTAGCAATTCTGCGACCCTGATTCCTTGTCGTGTTCTCGCCCTTCATCTACTCGTCCTGCGAATGCGTCATCCTAGTTAGGCCGCAATAAATAGAGGCTTAGACCGAGCTTCCAGGAATTAAGTTCAATATCCCTTACTGCCCTTTTTTTCCGACCGCCAAGGTTACTTGTTCCAAGGCGAATGTCGTATCGTGGATCTTGGCAATGTAACAGGTCTGCGGACGAAGAGCCTTGAAGCCCGCACATCCACCACCTCTGAGAAAAAACTGGCATCACCACTCCTCTTAGGCGGAACAGCCTTCTCCCTTTTACGAGTACCAGCGACTGTCTCGGTGATAAAGCTCTTTTGCCAGCTCTTCACCGCTGGTGCTCAACCGAATACATCGGAGCTTTCCGACGCCTTGGAATGCCGAGCGTACGGCCAATGTGCCCGAGCTGTGCGCCTGAACTCTCATGTCTGCATCAGCTGGATAGCATCAACTGTATTTAATGGAACCTTACGTGAGTAAGGGATGATACTCAATTTAATCCTTGCCGCACGTAACAGACACGTCTGTTTGAAAAACGAATGGTTGAATAAGAGACAGGAACCAACACGTCTAGTCCTGTTTATCGACTACTGGCTTACCCAGCATGCCGACACTGTCCTGTTTTCCGTCAAAACGGCTTAGGAGCTCGTGCCGCGGGCAGCACGTATCGCTTGCTGCGGCTTTGTGGTGGTGGTGTGGTGCGCAGCACTACATAGCTCACGGCCACTGACGTCGGCGACGCTCAAGAACGTGGTTGACCCATTGCTCGAACCTGGCGTCGAAATGGATGTTCCTTCGCAACACGACGACTCCGTGCTCATGCTGGATTCTGAGAGGTTTCGAACCCGATCACACTTTCCTACAGCTGTCATGGGGAGAAAGTATCCTGAGACACGGTACAAGGGGGCATGTCAGGCAGTTTGTTGCATCAACGACCAGTCGAGGGGCGGGGAACGCGCTCGAATCCTTGTGCGCACCTCTCTGTATTGAGTTCTGGTGGAGAGGACTCGGTGTCTCCTCAATTGTTTTGAGCAGGACATTCACCATGGGGCTGTCGGTCGGCCCAAGTGATACAGGACGAGGTCATGTTGAACTCCCTTGAATATATTGACTCATCGACACCAAGCCTCAGAGCACTGCCAGGGCACAGAGGAGCGCAGGCCAGTGACCACGGGGTGCACACCGCCCCAAGAATTATTTCCCTACTTTGCGCAACAGCCCTAGACGAGCTTGGGGATGGGACTTCGGCTCGTCAACGAAGGAGAGTCGTGAGTTCGAAACGTCAAACACCGCAACCGCAGGATATGAAGATAAAGTTCTAGTACGTGCCACCAGCGCAATATTCACATGCAAGGCATAGAGGTCCACAGTCATCTACAAAGGATCGAAGAAATTCATTAATCTGGGTATCTTCTCGTCATAACCTCGTTGCGTCGTCAAGCGACGGCGTGGACGTACTGAACCTAAGAGCGCTGTTTTCCAGCCCCGCCCACAGCATAATGCTGAAACCAAAACACAACCCAAAATCCCATGCGACGCCAATGCATCAATAGGGGGCGAGTTGATTGTCGAATCCACCCACGTTGAGACCACGAACGCCGAACACGGGGTCGAGAGTGGCCCCGTCCTCCGAGGCCAGGGCGCTCAAACGATCTCGAGCCTATAATCGTCGTTCCGGCTGAGCTCGTACGATAGAATGGTGTGGTCTCTGTAGTGCAGCATGAGTCTATATCGTGTCGACCCCGGCCCGGCCGTGGTCTTGCCGTCTGGCCGCGCCAGCAGCATACCCTCCGCGCCACCCTCCTGCACAGGCCCGACGGCGATGCCGTAAAGCGGCCCTCGCGAGCCTGCGTCCGGCGTCCTCGTCCGTCTGCGTCGGCAGTACCCAGTCGACGCGGAGTTCTTGGCGAGGAACCGATCCGTTCCCTGGGATGCTGGCCTTTGTTCTCGTCGGAAAAGTTGACGCGCGAACGACATCGGGGGGGT